CTGAGCCAGTCAACTGGACCCAAAACGTCATCCCTGTAAATTTAGCTCCAGATACACAAGTTCTTGGTGTGGGGTGGCTTTCCTTCCTCTGGCATGACTGTGGACTTCACAAAAGGGAACCACTGGAAGTGGGGATAAGGAAAGAGATAACCTCCCAAATTCTTCTGGGCCCAGGCGATCCTGGAGGACCAAGTTCACCCCGCTGAACATGCATCTTTTCTTCCTTCAGGCTTGCTCTGACTTGGAAGTTGAAACTAGGTGTGGAGTGCTCGCCCCAGACCAGAGGATGTCCTCCCCTGGGCTCTCACAACCACGCTAAGCCTCTGCGCTCACCTGGACACAGCTCCTTAAAGCCAGCTGTTCCTCCAGCGACTCGCTCTGGAAGCCGGCCCTCTCCACATCTGCCACATGACTGCTGCTGTCAAGAGAAGCCCCAGCGTTCCAAGAAGAGCAGGGAGGTGGAACACAAGACTTTCCCTAGTTCTGCCCCCAGAAGCCAAGCCAGCCAAGTAAGCCCTTCTGTATATTCTCATATGAAGAGGAGCCTTTCAAATGCTTAAAGACTGAACCTGAATCTGCATTCTGCTATCAAGTGGAGAACATTTACTGACATTAAAGTATCGATAACTGATGGCTTCTCCTGCCATGACCATGAGTTCCATTTAACAGAGGGCAGAAAAAACCCAAGAAGAACAAGTCTCTGATTACAGATCACCAAAAGCCTCAGGCAAACATAGTGTGGGAGAAACAGTTCACAAAATCCCAAAGTGGAGACAAGAGTCTTCAAGGAGCTGTTCACACACACAAAATTCCACAGGAGGAATTTGGGCTGGGGATTTCCTGGAGCCCAAGTAGTTCTTGCTCAGCCACAGGGACAAAGATTTCAAAGAATTTTTGGCTAAATGAGACCCTAACCATCAACTAGTCTAACCTTCTTATGCCATGGAAGAAGAAACTGGGGCCCAGTGAGGAAGGCAGGGAGTCAAAAACTCCGGGTTGGAATCTGGCCTTAGCTGTCACTTAATCTCTCACAGCCTCAGTTTCCTCCTCTGTCAAATCAAAAGAATACCAAGAATGCTGCTCCCACTACCTTTCCTTTTGCAGACACCAAAGGACTGCACGAATAGGAGGAGGAATTGCAATTAACAGGGACTTGCTCCAGATCACACAGCAGTCCAGAGAGAAGCCAGGCCCCTGGCCTCCCAGGGGAGTGCTTGACCAAGCCTGGCCCTGTGCCCTCATCAAATACTTTGTCAAAAGTTGTTTTCAGGCCACAATGTGCATCCAAGGTCAGCACCTTCACAGCACCTCAAGGACACAGAGCCAGGGTCTGAGCTCCTTCTCCCCTGAGAACAAGCCCTGCAGCCAAAGAGCTCCCTCCCAGACAGAGGCTGCAGGGCAAAGTCGGGGAGGCAATGGAGGAGGGAAGATTCAACACAGCCAAAAACAGCGAAGGCCACACAATTATCCTACAGCACTCAAATGAAGAAAAATGAGGACCCCCCCTCTAACCTTCCTGTATACGGAGGCGAGAGGTCCACGGGTACTGCGCGTGGCACACATTTTTGGCCTTTTTCAACGTATCAATCAGCTGTGCTGACTTTTTTTTTCCTTTCTAAAAACTACTATTTGTCCTATGTAATGGCTCTCTGGGACAGAGGGAGAGAGGAGTATTTGGATTAATTATGGTGCTATGAGACAGAAAATATCAATAACAACTTATTTAAAAATACATCATGCAACCTGCTCTGCCTTCCTTTAAAAAGTGATTGCCACAAACAGGCAAACTACCAGAAGTTAATGTGATAACAGTAAATTTCAGACAGAAACTCTGTTTAAGAGGGCATTCTGGGAGCCCTAGAAATGAATAAAAATCCAGATTCATCATATTCACACACACACCATAACCAAGACAACAGAAGTTCCAAGCTAAATTGTTATGAAAAATGGTATCGCTGACAGATTTGCTGTAATCTCAACTGCAGAAACAGATGTTCCTTAGTTCCTGAAAAAAAAAATTTCCTATCCCTGCTCTAAGTGCAAACGGGAAATAAAATTTAGCCTCAGCCTTCTGGAGGCAACACTCTGGACAATTCGTGATGCTCCGAGACAGAAAATCCCAACGGGCTGGCTAGGAAAGCAAGGGAGGCAGGGACAGCAATTCTGTTTGCTCCAGGAGTCACTAGTGATGCAGCTGGGTGTAGAGCAGGAGTCAGCAGGCTGTAGAAAACTGTAATGCCAGCTACAGCTCTAAGGGGCTGCGCAGCTTGAGAACTGTTACCTGATCCTCCAGGCCTGTTTCTTCATCCAGAGAATAAAGGACAAAATGGTCTCTAAGGCACCTTCTAACCTTACTCTTCTATGAATGAGAAAATCACAGGAGGTGCAGTCAGAGGACCTGGGCACCAGTGACAATTCACCTCCTCACTACTACAATGTAAGCTGAACAGGGGATGACCCAAGGTCCTTCCAGCTTGGAACCCTGTGGAAATATTCCCCAGGACACAGGATCTTTCAGAACTTTGCTCAGTGGGGCTATGTGGCCTATGCCTTCCTGGACTTTTTAAAGACAGGAAATTCTGGGCATTCCTCCCTGTATCTTACTGCAAATAATGGAAAACTGGCATTCATCTTATTTCTGATTCCTAGACCTATGAAGTCTATATATATTTACAGAGGAAAAGACACTCATCAAACCCTACATGCATTTCCATCCTGGGTGGCTGAAAAGATCCATTCTGTCTCAGAAGAGCCGCAGTCCTTGTCTCCCTGTGTCATTTACTGACAACAGCTGCATTCCCTGTGGCATGTTCTGACCCACTGGGCACATGACCACTTAGGCTGACCCATTCTGTGAGAAATGCAGGTGACATAGAAATTTCTACCGTTGCTTTTTATTAATATCAGAAAGTAAATAAATTAAAATGTTAAATAAATAATGAATATGCAAACACAGAATGCAATACAAATTCAAGAATTCTACCTCCCCCACCCCATCCCAAAGCTTTCCACAGTGTACTTTGTTCTCCTTGTTAGGGAGGCGAGGAGAGAAAATATCCTAGCCAAAGCAAGTGCCAAGTACTGGGTTGGTGGAAGGATGAGCAAAGAGTTCCCTAGAGCAAGGGAAAATTACCAAGGAAAAAAAAAAAGCACAGGAAGCCCACTTAGGGTTTTTCTGCTTAGACTGGTCAAAACTTTTCAGGAATTAAAATCCATAGAAACAGAATTTTAGGACTTAAAGGAGCTTTAGAAATCACCAAGCCCAATCCCCTCCTATCCCAAAGGGAGCCAAGGGGTACCACAGGGCACTGAGCGCTGGGCCTGGAGTCAGGAAAAGCTGAGTTGCAATTCCACCTGTGTGTGACCCTGGGCAAGTCACTCTGCCTCAGTTTCCTCAACTGTGAAATGGGCATCATAATAGGGTCTACCTCCTAGAGTCAGCTGTAAGCATCAAATGAGACACCATTTACAAGGCACTGGACACAGTGGCAGCGATAAATGGACGTGACCCAGAGGGAGCCTCTGCACACCAACCACCCTCCACTAAAGTGTCTCTCCCTCCCGGAATCCAGACGCATGACGGTCAGCCCAGGAAACCCTCTGCTGCCCTTTTTGTTCTCAGGCCCTCCCTTCAAGGAAGGAGGAAATCCTAGGCCTCCTTACATGAAGTAAGCACAGAAAGCTCCCCTCCCAACCCAAAGGCCACACTCTCATCTGTCAGGGATGGGCATCAGGGAGGCCACACACCCTATGTCAGAGAGCAGGCCTTTATGAAACTGTGGGGGTGGCAGCAGCCTCGCACCCTGCGAGACTCTTTCAAGGACCATCACGTCCTTGGAGGAATCCATGTTTATTTTATTTCAGAATCTACTGCATGGTGGGGAATTTTCATCCTGCATTTCCATTTGCCTAAATGTGATTGTTCTGTAAGTGGGGCAGAAAGGAAGCAAAAATGCCACAAGGCGTCACCAGCAGGCAACCTAACCTAATTCGTATCCATGGCTAGCAGGCTGACAAATACGGTGCCTACTCCTCCTCCAAGAAGCCCTCTTGGGCTACTAGCATGCCACAGGCCCCTGGCGTCCTCTTGGCATGTCAGCACGGATGCTCCGCACCTTCCTTGTCACGCTGCCATCTCCCTCGTTTCCTACTTGTTTCATGTGTTTATGTTTTAATGCTGATCAGTTTCCTGATAATCTCTTACTCCTAATCTGACAAAGTAAAATGTTGGTCAGTTCAGGGAAGACGGAGTGTGCTGAGCGATGGGCCTGGAGTCAGGAAGACCTGAGTTCAAATCCAACCTCAGACACTCATTAGCTGTGTGACCCTGATTAAGTCCCTTAATTTGTCTCTGCCTCAATTTCCTCATCTGTAAAATAGGGATGATAATAGCACCTACCTCCCAGGACTGTCATAAGGATCAAGTGAGATACCAACTGTAAAGTGCTTACTACAGTGCCTGGCACACAGTAGGTCTATAAATGCCTGTCTTCTTCCTTCCACTCAACAAGCTCTCACATGACTTGGGAATGGTTTCAGCAGAACTCATTTAATGGATGTTCCATAAGCATTTACAAGCAAGTAAATGTTACTACATCTGACAAATGAGTCATTTCTTGCTCAAGGCATTCCTCTTGAATTGTCCCAGGAATTTCTAATGCTTCCCTACCTTTGTGGAGGGCGGTCCCTCCAATGACCACTGATAAGGGCTCTGCCATACAGCGCGCTGACATAGCAGGTGCAGCGCCACGTACTTCTGGCTATCATTAACCGGGAAGTCAACAACTGATAATCACGCTTCCCTGAATCCTGTACTTCTTGGCATGATAGCAGTGGAAAGGCTAAAATGGATCACGACTGTCTAAATCAGCATATGCTGTCTTCTGGACAGACTTCATACTAAACACATCCATGTAGATGTCAAGAATTACAGAGTGCTAGAGTTTACACTATGGGCAACATTTCTCTTGTTTGGGAATATTTATATACAGTTATCCTACCTGGTGTTTTGTTTCCTCCTCATCTTCAACTCTGACACAACCAGCATCACCTAGGACAGGGCTTAGGAGAGGGGATGAACCCTGTCCAGTTGGGCTCAGAGACACCTGAAATGTTGGGTTCAAACTCAGTGAACTCTTCAACGTGAAGGGAGAAAGCAGAGAGCTGTCCTCCGAGAGGCCTGCAATTGGAACAGGAGGGGAGGGTGAACTGAGAAAGGTGTTATGGTGATGGTTTATTTTAGAGGAGGGGAAACAGTAGGCGGGAAATGAGTGAATGGTTAAATAAACTGATATGATAACATCATGTAATAAGAAAATAGCACTGAAAAATCATAACTATGAGGAAAGGAAGGCGGAAAACAGATAAATACTAAGACTCCACAAGACAAAATATGGACAACATGAGAGGCGAGGCAAGGGTTAGAAGGGCCTGAGACATAGGTAAAACAAGCAAGAAGTCTATAGGGATGTACTTTACAGAGAAATTAATTTTCAGGACAATGAGTTGTAAATGGATGTTTATCCAATTTGGTTGCTTTAAGGGCAAACCAAGTTGTAGAATTTTTTAAATTAATTAAAAGATTTTAAAAAATCATTACTTATTAAGATTACCATGGAAGGCTTGTGGTTGCTTTCTTTTTACTAAAAATTTTCTGAGGATTTGTTCAAAATCTTAAATATAATCACAAACAAGACTGAACAACACAGCAGAAAACCATTTGACTGGGATGAAGGTAAAGATTATTTGGTTTCCTTTAAGATGTCTACAGAAGATATCATAACTTAGTTCCTGGAAGGGGGTGGGGGGAAGGAGCTTTCTCTTTGTTAAAGAACTTCGGAAAGAAATGACATAATCATTACAAGCATAAAAAGAAGAGGAATCAAATCCCTAAAACAAGAAGCCTAAGAAATGAGCAAAGTTTTGTGCCCGGTCAGAAAAGGCCCTTCTATTTATTAGTATTTCTTTGTATCTCCAGCACTCAGTACAGGCACGTTATAAGCACTTAATAAATATTTGTTGTTGAGGATAAATTAACACAATAATGATAGGTCAAGGGACACCAGGATATTCAAGCGAGCACATAACATCCAGTTAAATGAACTTGCTCCATTCATTAAAGTTTACTTCAATCTATTTTTTCTAGTACCTGGAATATTCCACTTCTTTTTTTGTTGACAACTTACATTGTTAATAAAATTTCTTCCACTGGCTTTCACTTACTGAAAACCAGACTGATGACCATCAACATAAACGTTAATGGTAGAAAGTCAAGTAATGGCACATATATTCCAACTGATATTTTAGGGTGAGAGAAGAGGTCTCACACTGTCCTCTAAAAATACATGAAATCTACATTACTGATTTTTTTTTCCTTTTTTTTTTTTGAAGGCAATGGGGATTAAGTGACTTGCCCAGGGTCACACAGCTAGTAAGTCTTTGAGGCCAGATTTGAACTCAGGTCCTCCTGACTACAGGGCCAGTGCTCTATCCACTATACCACCTAGCTGCCCACATATTAGTGAATTTTAAAAGGAAAGGTATATTAGTATTCTTTTCCTATATGAATCAAGATTAAAAAAAAAACACCACTTTTAGATATTGTCCCAATTACTACTAAAGCAGTTAGTAAAATGTCTGACTTTTTGCTCAAAATTTTAGGGAAAAAATGTTTATCATTTAAAAAGCCCCTTGAATTTCTAACTTTTCTATTATTTCTAGTTCATTATTGCCAGTAACAAGCCCCCCTCGGCTCCCGAGTTTGAGTGTGGAAGTCGCCCCCCTGTGGTTCAAGGGCTTGGTTCTGTGACAACTCAGACCATCTTTTAGAACCGAGATGATTTTGAGAATCTACGGAACCTCTATTTGCACCCACATAAACACTTAATGTGTGTAACTAGGTAAAAACACACACAATGTGTGGCCAACGCAGGCCAGGCCAGCAAGATGGACAGGGGGAATGAGTCTTTATTGAGTTTTTTTGTTTTGTTCATCAGTTTTGAGCTGAATAACTCAAGTACATATAATTCAGTGGCAGCAGCAGGAGGAAGAAGCCCTTCTTTTCACATTGACAAATTCAGACGTCTAAAGAACCGAGTGAGAAGAGGTTCAGCTTGTCAAAGTACCTGGAGGTTAGCTATGAATGCTTGGCAAAAAGCCCACTTTCTTTAACTGCAATGATTTTGAGTTATACTACCTTACGATAAAAAAACCATTCATGAAAAATCAGTTTATTGGAATTGGACTTGTGAGTTACATATTTAAATTAAAATCAACTGGCAACCTAATACATGGGCAACAAAAAAAGGGCCTCTCTTCTCCCTTCTCCTCCCCCACCAAAAAAAAAAGTACTTTTCTCATAGCAGACAGGGTCCCATTTACCATAATCATGGCTCTGCCCTACCCCTACAAAGGCTTTATTGCTCCCTGATAAAAGCCAGTGTGCTCAGCAAGCAAGAAAAGGAATGCATTCCCAGCAGGGTAACTGAGGCCAAGGCCTTCCTTCTGCAGATGGAACACTCCACTGCTGACTGATTCATCACCTTTGTGAAGCAAGACGAGCAGAGAGAGTGGTCTTCTTGACAAATCTAAGTTGTCAGCTAAGGTTTCTTCTCAATCTAAATTCCAGGGATCTTCTACCAAGATCTGTTCTCTCTTTAATAAGCCAAAATTACAAAAAATGGAACCCCCTCCACTTCTACTTCAGCAACAGAAAGTAAACCAAAAAACCAAGCGGCTAAATATTGTCCTTGCAACCACTACTGTTTAAAATGAAATATCCTAGCTATGTTATAACCACTTCAAGTGTGTACATGTGAATCCACTTTGTCCACTGGCTAGAGTCCAAAAATTCTTCTCCTTAGTGGATGAGGTAAAAAGAGGCAGTGATGAGTGGGGCTGGAGGGGGAGGGGAAGATGGGAATTGGACCTCTGGTTTCACTTTTCATAGCCAAGTTCTTGGTGAGGAAAGGCCCTCCAATGCAGAAAGGTGCCTTCTCTGAAACTTACAGTCTTAGGGAGTTGCCTGGTGTACTGAAAGGTAAAATGATTTCCCCAGGGTCACATAGTCTAGGAAGATTTTTGTTTTACAAGAGAGATTCTCCAAAGTTTTCATTAATTCATGTCTCACTAAATATAACATTTAAATAGAGTTAACATGGATGTTGACTTTTGCCTAGAAAAATTTTTAACTGACAGCAAAAATTTAAAGTGTAAATAAAATTGAACTAGGAATATTTAAGAGGGCAATTATTTCAAAGACTTTCAAAATGTGCTCACATACAATTAACAGGCTTCCAAAAATACAGTCTTACTATTCAGCAAAACAGGTCTCTGGAGACCCTCCATTAAGGCAAGTTTGAATGAAAGACCTTGGTTTATTTAATGAGTTACTTTAATAACAAATACTACTTTACTTAAAATGTAAGCTCAGGCTCCCTCCCTACAATAAAGTAAGGTTGTATTCCATCATCTACTTGTAAAAAATGGTATTTACACCCAGCTTTGTAGGAAGTCATTCATCAACTAGGTCCAATGAAGAATACCTGAGATTCAGAGCTCCAGCCAAGTGTGCCTATTTCTTCAAATGTAGACAGTGAGGAATTCTTGAACTGCCAAAACGAAATCCTGCTGTAAAAAGCGAGTGAAGCAGGAGAGGATCTAGGTGCAAGTGGGACCTGCACTGCCAATAGACTAGTGGGAGAAGACAGGTGTTGTCATGACAACAAAGGACAAGAGAGTTTCTGCAGGGGTGAGGACCAAACCAAACTTGGGGCAAAGAAAATCTTCCACCACGCAGAAGGCTGCAGCAGGCAAAGCCGATAACCTCAGGAAAACACTGAGGATCTCAGCTTTACGATACGAATACTCGGGGCTCCAGCTTACCTTAGCTTTTCCTTCAGAGGCTTTCCACTCATCTAATTAGGCAATGCAATATAATGTTTCTAATGAAAAGGTAACTAAGTTAAGTCTGTCTTTATTATTTCATCCATTTCAATTCTTTTTTCCTTAAAAATCCTCTTTGATAAGAACTTCAACGATCCAATGAAGAACCAGCTGCTTCTTAAAAATACAGCCAGCAAGAACTCTTGAGACATAAAAAAGCCAAGTCTAAAACATTGGCTGGTTATCTCTCAAGCCAAAGTTGGATGTTTGGGTTTTAAGGCAGTACAAATGGCTGCAAACATCAGGCCACAGACAGCTAGAAAAATAAAACAGGCCTGTGAAGTGAGAAGCTGATGAATCTGTAGAAAACCTACTTCTGCCTCCAGGCCACCAGGAGGTCATGTGATAGAAAGATCTGTCACTTGTAAATGGAACCTGGCTCTAATGAGCAATAGCTCAATAAAGTCTATGATTCTAAACAATTTGTGTAGTAAGCAAATAAAGGCTATTTCATTTTTACAGCTATTTGTATCTAGGCTGTTTGAGAAGGAAAAATGAGGCTATTAACTTAAGCCACAACATGTCTGATTGGGAAGTATTCTTTCCAATTTGGCATCATTTTCCACAGGAAAAACAAAACAAAACAAAACAGAAAGTGCACTACTTTTTGGTGGGCAGATCCGAATTTTGCTGGAGGAAGAGAGGAAAGGCAAAAATGTTCAAATCAAATAAACATAAACCTGTTTCAATTTCATTAGAAATTAAGGCAAACTGAACTGTTTTGTGCCCCAAAGCACAACCCATAAAATGTGAACAGTTCAATTGGTTTCAATTATTTTAAGAATTTTCATGCCAGATAGGGCCTTAGAGACTGACTTGGCATTCCTCCACCAGTCTCTTATTGGTCTTGATGTCAGAAAGGACCTTAAGTTGTCCCAACATTGAAAACCTACCATAAGGAATCTGTGGAGAAAAGGCCCACCTCACGGTGGGGCATTATGGGCAAGGAAGATGCTGATTTGGAACAACAAGGAGGCCTGAGGGTCAACTGAACAAGCAGGATGCCTCCAAACATGAGCACCCACAATTGCTATCTCTGCTGCCAATCAGCCAACAAATATGAGGTTCTATGTTAGGCATGGTGGGTACATATAAAAGTGTGAGACAGCATCCCTGAACTAAAGGTTTTCATAGCCTAGCTGTAGAGCCAAAATACACAGTGAGAACGGAATACTAACGCTTATGTAATTTATTGCTAAATCGTGTGGTATATTAAGAGTGCTGTAGTGTTCAAAG